ACATTTAAATAATTTTATATTAATTTATTAATAAAAATATATATTAAAAAAAATTCTGGTTTTTTTTGCACCACACTATATATTACTAAGTCATTTTCTTGCAGATTAAGATCTTTTTCTAATTTGTTTAGCTATAGTTTGATTTCTTTTGACTTCTGTAAAGTATTGATACAGTCCATTAAATAGTTGTAAGCCATTTTGACTTTCTGATTGATATAGTTAGCAGAAATAGGTTGGAGATGTTTGTTATATTAAATAATAATAAACATATAAAATTTATATTATAAGAATAATAATATATTAAATATATATTATTATTATTGTAAAAAAAAACTCTCACCTGTTCACTGCTGATTTTTTGAAAATTTCTTTTTATGGAAATCTTCTTTCAAGAAGTGTCTCACTTTCTTTATTCTTTAAGGCAATAAGCTTTAAATCCAAAGAACATAAAGACTTTAAGGAACACTGTTGCATTGGAATGGGACCTTTGGTCAAGACCTAAACAAGTTGGGAGTCTTCCATAACTCTTGGTTGCATGGTGAAAGGCCTGTGGCAGTCTTCCTTCATAATTTTTTGTCTTTAGGTACCTTCCCCTTTATAACCATAATAATTACTTTTTCTTTCACCTTTCTCTCTCTACAATACAAATTCAATCTTAACAACATATTTAAACATAGTTACTGGATCTAAAGTTTGTCTTAACATAAGCTTTGCAAATTTTTTTTTATTTTTTTCTTCTCTATCTAAACATCAATACTACGTCATATTTCTATACTTTTCTATACTCTTTTCAAATCTACTCAAAAACCAAAATCAGTTTCACCCCATCCAAAGATTTACACTCTACAAATGACCAATAAAATTTCTCTATTCCTAACAACAACACCAAACTTGTTTAAACCCATTTATAACCAGTCTTCTTTTAACAAAAAATTTCCACATTTAATAACAATACTAATTACAACAATATAATAATATTAATAACAAAAATGATCTGATAACTTACCAGATTGGAAGAGCGTGTGACCTGTGTCCTGCATGAGTTCCGGTAATCTTTACTTTATATACATCCAAACAACAAACAAGCAATTGGAGCAGACTCCAATTACCCAATCCACTTATATCTCAATCACAACACTCTTTTATCAATCACATGACTTTTTATTATTTCAACAATGGAGTTGTGACCCATAAGCAGCAATGCTACCATTAAAGAAAAAAGGCAGCCAAAACTTAACTAATGTAAGTAAAGGTGTAATACTTTTATTGCAAGTGGAAGTGAGATACCAGGGAGTTGCACCCCGTAATCTGGTAGCTTAAACCAGTGCTCCTCTACTGCTGCTGGAGTCACATCCAGTTATCAAAAAGAAAGCGGTAACTTAGGTAGACACATTTGGTTTGTGCCCTGCAAGAGGAATTGTTGGTTCAAAGATAATACACTCCTAAACCCTAAATACATCATCACTATAACTTTCTACTCTCCATAAATCATTAACTATAACTCTTACTTATAACTAAACAACATATAGTCCATCTTATATGCTACTAATATTTTTTCTCTTAAATCAAACTTCTATTACTCTTTCTTACAATTGACGATCTTGCCCAAAATGTTTTTTTTATTTTTTATTTTTTTATAGCAGATAGTTTCTCAAGTTTTTCTTTCTAAGTTTTTTCCAATAATATATCTGCTCATGGTGGCAAGTTAATATGTATTATCATATACTTCATACTTTATTGATTTTGTATATAATGTATTACATTTATTATGTATAATTAATAAAGCCTTGAGGAAGACCTCACTTAGCATAAAAAAAAAAATAAATTAAATTAATAGATAAAAGATACAAATATATATACTTTATAATCTTTTGTTTTTAATTTAGTTACATTTATTTATAATAATTTAATAAATAATATTTGGCTTGTGTAATATACATATATCAGAAATAGAATTAACACCTATCTAAAAATATAATATCTTCTAGATAATCAGGTTCCATGGTATAGTTATAGTCAGAATTGTTGTATTATATGAATAACACAATGATTTTAATATAAGTACACTACAATTAGTAAGATGTTTAACTATAGTACTTGTTGTATTATTATATTCTTTTTTTCTCTTATTCTGAAACAATTCTTCCATATCTGGTGTACGCATCAGTTTAAAACTTCCGTAATCCGAAAAAAATTACATTTTTTCATTCCCAAAACGTTATTGAAATGCAAATGATTGATCACATTATCTTTCGTTTGACCTTGTTAATCTTTTTTATTTGAGAAAAATATAAACAAAGTGTTCTTTCACACCTTAAATGGATATGTATCACGTCAAAATGTGTACTACATACAAATTCTTAAACAAAAACTATAAAAATAGGGAAAATCACGAAAATCCAAAATAAAAAATTACAAATGAAATTACTGACTTCTTTAGCCCAAGACTATTCTTCACTCTTGGATCACCGAGATGAATTTTACGATGTGATTATTCAAGTTGGTAACGAAGACTCGCCAAATTTTTTTCGAGGACATTCGGTAGTCTTATGGGCAAGATCTCAGTACTTTCGTGATAAATTATCAAGAGTTGATAAGGATAGCTTTAGGAATGTTATCTCCATTAGTCTTTCAAATATCTCAGCAGAACAGTTTGGAGTGTTACTTAGGTAAGGTGAACACACAAAAAATACCCTATTGCCTACTTTCTAAACATATTTCACTATATTTACTAGATACATTTATACTGGCACTATCGCTCTCGAAAAATATAAAATAGAAGACATGATACTTCTCATGATGGAAGCAAAACAATTGCTACTACCAGAATTTGTAGAATACGTTCAAGAATATTTAAATGACCATCAGAATCTTATAATTAATAATTATTTTTTTATTAATAATTTTATTGCCAAATATTCTGGGAAGCTCGACCGTCTAGTTGAGTTATGCAATAGAATATTAATACAAAATCCAATTGAAGTGATCAATTCGCCACAGTTCCTTAGAATTAATCAAAGAGAGCTTTCACAATTTCTCGAAATTTTTTCAAACACGTCATATTCACCCTTACATCCGGAAATCTCTTCGAATGGCATCACCTTATTAGACATCTGTTTGTCAGACACAAATTTGCCGGATGCCACCACTGTAAAGGACACAATTCTATGGAACAAATTAGTAGAATGGGGAGCTACTCAATTAAATCTTATACCTTCTAAGATCTCCGAGTTCGGCGATGACGATTGTCATTACATTAAGCAGGTGATCGAACCTTTTTTGCCATTTATTAATTTTGAGAATATTAGTTCAGTAGAATTCAGGGAAAAGGTTACACCGATTAGGAAAGTTTTGGATAATAAATTTTATGTGGAACTTTTAGAAGCTTATGCTGAGACGGGATCGGAACAGGAGACCCGTTCTCATAATGGCTCTACATATTCACGAGTATCTACAAATCAACGGTCAGTCAGTCAACAACAAAAACAATATTCAGGTACATCTTCGAACAATTCATCGTTGAATCATCCTTCGGATCATGAGCATTCTCCTAAGAGGAATTCAACTAAAAATCGTCGTCTTTCGAACAATTCATCATCGAATCGTTCCTCGGATTCTTTTGGAAAGAATTCATCACAAAGACGTCCTTCGGATCACGCGTATTCTTCGACGAACAATTCATCATCGAACCATCCTGTTGGTTATGCACAATCTTCTACGAATTATCCTTCAGATTACGCGCATTCTTCTACTAGCAATTCATCACTGAATAATCCTTGGAACCATGAACATTTTCCTAAGAACAATTCATTATCAGACCACTCTCACCATCCTGACGAACAATTTGAAGAAGATCTTGACGCTCTTGAAGAATTTATGCGACCACTTCCAAGAATTAGAATCGATAATGAAACTACCCAATCGTCTTCAAGAAACCGATCTTCTAAATTTTCACGTGCGCAAAGGAATCGTCATTAAGCTGTAGTGTTGTACCTCGCATGCTATGTTAAAAAAACACCATTATTTTTATTTCTTTCATTGTATCATTCCTTTAAAAAAAATCACGAAGTCATTATTGTGATAATCATATTTATGGATTTATTAATTAAATCTTGTTAATCATCCTAGTGTGATCCACCTTTCTAACTATTTACATATATTATGTATACCTATGATTACGGCGATATCAAATTGCCGTCCATGTTATTCTTGATTGGAAAGGAGTGGTTCAAAACTTCAAACTTCCTGAATGGGTGCATAAATGAAACATTCTATTTATCAAAATTACGCCTTGCATTAGGCATGTTGCAGCGTCTCGTTAATAGAGCTAAAATTGTAAAATCAAATGAGAAAGGGCACACCGTTACGTTGTACGAGAATAATGAAGATTATT